GAGAATAATGCCCCTGGTCGCTAAGCCTCCTGAAGATACCATCTCAACCACGATGCCCTTGCTGTCCGCTGCTTTGCCTTTCTTCATCTGTTTCAATGCCGTCTGTAGCTCCTGCATAGAGAACGGTGAAATGCTTGTCGCCGCTGTAAAAGTGTTGTCCTTCTCGGGATTGTTGCTCCCGGCGTCGCAATTCAAATCAGAATACAATTTGCTATAAAAATCGGCAAACACGTCGGCGATCTCTTGTCTGCCCCGCACAGTCTCCCCACTCTCACACACCATAACTGAAATGAAGTCCTGTGATTTCTGCGATTTGATGCCAGCGATCTTCTTCAAGTCACGGAACTCAGGAAAGATGTTGTCAATATCCGATCGGCGCTTTCCTCTCTCTTCATGTTCCGGATCTTGTTTCGGATCACTTTGTTGAGAGCTCGTTTTGCTGCAGGGTCGTCTGCGTTGGTCTCGCGTCTCTTCTTTAATAAAATCTCCAAACCACCGTCGTCGTATTGAATTGTGCTTAATCGTGGGGCGCTGGAGCCGGCTATAGTCATAGATTCCAATATTCTCTTTTCAAGTTGATCACAACTGGGATGTTTGCCCCTTTTCGTACCACGTGAGAGTTCACGAGCTTGTTCTTCGATGCTGGATTGATATGCCTCCAAATTCTGTGGCGGCCATCGTACTGGCTTCGTGATGGTGTTGTTCTTCTTCTCGTTGGTAGTCGTCTTGCTCGTCTCCTTCCGCAGGGCAGCGCTCCGCAGCCGTGCCGTGGTGCGGTCGGAACCGAGATCTGCAATATCCGTCGTTCCCACGTCTTTGACTGTTTTCCAAAATCGTCGATGCACCAAAAAATAATCGATCTGCTTCATCACGCTGCCAGGCCCACGGTATGTGCAACGGTGTTGGTATTTTTGTTGGGGAAAAAGTACTCGTGACTTTGAGTTTGCGGGCCGCCGTCCATTGTCGAAGTCATTGCCCCCGTGCGTTCGCCAAGCCATACCCAAATGGGCGCGTGCTATTGGAATTGTCATATGTTGTCTGACCCACTTGAGCGTTGCAGTCCGCTCCAATGGCAAAGTACATCTTCCGCCGCTCCGCCTCGTTGTGGATCTCTGTCAGGATGTCATAGATTGACTGCGCATGGTGGTCCGCATAACCACTGCGGGGAAATACACCGTAACCAATCTTAGCCGGAACCCTGGGCGATGAACATCAACATATGCACTTCGTTCCGATATGACCTCAAACTTATATATATATATATATATATATATATATATAGATATGTGTGTATATATATATATATATATATATGCTCCACATTTTGTGCGCTATAATTGCAACTCCTCTGGTTGGCTTGGCATTCCCTGCTGCTGTAAAGATGTGCCCACCTTCGGTAGCCCAGTGTTCCTTTGGAGTCGTCCTCATGGTTTCATTGATGGTAATGAAAGCCCACCTCGTGCTTCCAAACTCTTTCGAAAGCTCGCATACGCTTTCGTTATCTGTCATCCCCCGAACGCTCTTGTGGAACAGTGCGAGGTCGCGGTCTGCGGCGATGTCGGTCTTATCGATGTTCTGCTGATCCGTCGTCTGCTCCTCGGCGACGTTGGCGGGTGAGTCCTGAGATGCATGTACCGAAAATCCTCTGGGGAAATCTCCAACTACAAATCTGTACTTTCCCAGGCCCCCTCCTCCAAGAACCTGCGGGCGATTGGCCCCCGTATCTTCTGGAGCCTCCTGGTACTTTGATTCAGGGATCGGTAATGATACGAATGTGGGTGTAATTCCTATCATTGTGTATCCCCCTTCTGGTGCAGGAGTCGGTGAAACAGAAACTGTCTTGGTAGTTGTGGGAGTACACGGGGGCGCGGGGGGAGTGATCGGAAAACCATATTTCCCAAATCCACGTTTTACATCAACCCGTCCTCCATCAAAAAATCGCGTGCTCAAGGGTGAAACATATGGAATTAATCCTCGTAGTGGTACTCGTGCGCGGTCTCGGCGTTGAGGCCGTCACTCTTCGCGCTTCCTCCTCCATTCCCTCATGAACTCCACCACTGTCTCATGCACTTCGACTCCGACTCCGAACGTCTCCAACTTTCCCTCCCCATCCACTCTTCCCACCTCCTCCTTCTTGGTTTTGACGACGCCTGTGTCCCAGTAGATGCGAATGTCACTTTGTTTATGCCCCTTGTTCATCAGGTTGTTCTTCAGCTGCCCCAAAGTCTTGTCGATGACCCGTTTTTCGTATGTGCCGTTGGCTGTGAACCACATCTTCTCTCCACAGCCCCAGGTAATCTTCTGGCCGCGCATTTTCTTCAGGAATCCAATGTTTGCTGCCTTGGTCCTGAAGGTTCTGATGCCTATCTCCGGCGGGTCAATAAAAGTAAATGTGTTCGACGTTTTCGGGTTCATGTTATTGTCATTTACTATCTGTTGTACTTGTTTGATGATGTTATCTTCCTCCTCATCCTCCTTCAGACCGCCAACAATCACCTGTAGGTCTCTCTCTCCATCACGTTCGTCGTCTTGTGGATGTATTGGGGGCTTCTCCTGGTTGCTCAGGGTTTCTTGGATCTGTGTGCCGAGGATCGTCTCCAGCTCATTTTTGAGGTCAGAGTTTGGGACGTAAAGGTCCAGCTCGTCCCTCAAATTGTCCACCTGCATCTCGAGATCGTTCATTGCGTCGTCCATTTTTTGCTCCAGTGTAGTTACTGCTTGTTTTGCGTCATGTGCCTCATCCATCGCTTCTTGGATCATTTCTTTGACATCGGTGAGGTCCGTCTCGAGTTTTCCGAAACGCTCTGCACGTCTCTTTTCATATGCTAAAAACCATGGCGGCGCTGCGCTCAAAGAATATTCCGCCGGTGTGGCAGCGACCATCAAAACATCATCCTCCTTCTTCGGTTTCTGTTTTGGGGGAGTGGATCCGGTACTCTGACCAGCTCGTTTCGACATCCCTGCCCAGCTCGGCGCCACGAGCGTGCACGAGAACGTGGATGAGAAGTCAAAGCGAGTTACAGTAGCTGTGAGCCAGTAACTTGAGCCAGAGTCTTGAGCCGGAAACGCTTGAGCCAGAACTTGAGCCAGAGGCTCGAGCCAACCCTGCGGGGACGTCCAACCCTGCGGGTGGATTCTCCCCCTCGTTCCTGGCTGGAGCGCCCGCCCCCCCAGGTGGGCGTTGCCACTTAGGTGTGCGCGTCCTGGCTGGAGCGCCCACCCCCCAAGGTGCGTGCTGCCACAGAAGTATGTGCACCGATTATGTGCGGCGGTTTCAATGACATGTTGGTTGGAACAGTGACCTGGCTGGCTGTGCTCCTAGCTGGCGCGGCGGTCCCCCTGGCCAGCTGGGGGTCCTGGGGAGTGGTCCCAGTGCTGCTTCTGGTGGCGCCTCCCGCCCCCGCTGCCTCCCATCAGCCGTGCGTCTCGCCGGTCTGGGAGCCCGTTTTGCTCAGATGTTGCCTGGATCTTCTCTGACGACTTCAAAAAAACGCCAGATCAGGGATCTGAAATACAATCATGCCAGCGCTGACCTGAACAATCAGCCGTGGAACTGCAGCATCATGGCCACAATGACACAAATCAACACTCAGGCTCCCAGGCATCACCTGAATCTGCCCGGCCGACAGAACCTCTCTTATTATCCCTGACAGATGTCGTCGGTCGCAGCGGCTTCCGAGGGAAGGTTCCCGCGCCCGTCAACAAGAAACACCCAGCCAAGCCCCTACGACGACTGAGCAAGTCAAGGCGTTGGCGGCCTCGGAAAAGGCAGAATGCGAGCAAGTCGGGTGCGAATAGCTCGGGGTCCTCACGAGGGCCTGCGAGTCCTGAGGCTGCGCCAGCGACGACGCGGCATCTTCTTGAGCCTCTGGAAGCGCACATGTGCTGGGGGTGGCGCGGAGCTGGGTGCGCCCCTGCGTGTGAACAATGGGGGCGCACCGAGGGCGCTCTGGCCGCCCTGGGCCTCGAAACGTGCGGACCGCCAGGGGGGAGGATGATCCAGGACGGGGTGAGGATGTGAAGGACCAGGGGTGGGGGGAGGAGACGGGGCGGAATGGAGGGGGACCACCTCTCCCTCTTCCTCCTCCGTCCATCACCGCCTGCTCCTAATTTTCCGTCCTCGTAATCCTTTTCGTTTTCCTTGTCGAAATCACCCTCCTCCTCCTGCCCTCCTCGTCATAGTTATCCTACACCATCTTATCGTGTTCCCCCCTGTTCCTCCTCCTCCATACCCCATAATTAATCCAAGCTTGGTATCACTGCTGTTTTATCCTCCCATCTTGCCGTTGGTCCTCGTATTCTCCTTGTCTCGCAACCTATATCCACATCAAACCTTCCAAAGCGTTTCCCCACCAGGGCGCCAGAGCGCAGAGAGATAGCTGCAAGCGGTGGGACGTTGCTTCAAAACAACAACACACAAAACTAGTTATCAAGCCAACTCCGAGACAGCCCGGCGAGACCCCTGGTACGACCAGGGAGAACCACCGGTGTGCTCCAGGACCCCTCCAAGATGGCACTGATACGTCGAGGACACTGAGGACTCCCTCAACAGAAACCTTTGATTCGGTGCGCCTGCGATCGTGTGCTTAACAATACTTGTAGCACGATTGCACGCCAGGATATGGAGGACGAGGGTGGGGGATTGGAAGGGGCACGTGGAGAAAGGAAGGAATGGGAATGCCCAGGCTGGATGAAGGCCAGGGGTGGCGAGGCGGGCAGGGAACGACAGGAACCGATACATCGGGCGTTCGGACAGAATCGAAACGGCCAGTTTGTGGCCTTTTTCGGCACCGCCACCGCACCTCGGGCCTCGGGGCCGTCAGCAAACGGCTCGGGGTGACTAGCCAGCCCTGGGGAAGGGGTCGAAAGGTCGGGGAGACCGCTCGGCGAACAAATCGAATCGCCCGATGCCTGGGGGGAGATGGGCGGGGACGACTGGGAGGTGGCGGCAGGGAAAACCCGGGCGGGGGCGAGGGGAATGTGATGCGGCAGAGGGTCGCCTGTGAGCCGCGGCCAGCGACGAAGACGCCTCCGCGGCCGGGTGCACCACGCCGGGGTGCGCGTTGCGCCGGTGGAGCTTGAGGGTCTTCTGGAGACCTCGCTCGGTCACCATCACCATCACCACTGCCATCATCTTCGTTATCGGCGCTCGGGCATGTGCGCGCGGCGACGAAACGAGCAGCGTAGGCGCTCTCACCACGGGTGCTTGGCGCGTTGCGACTTGTAGAACCAGTGAATGCTGACGATGGTGATGAAGGCGGTGATGAGGATGGTGATGAGGGTGATGATGACGATGCTGGAGATGGTGATGGTGATGGTGATGATGATGATGTTGATAATGCTGGTGATGATGGGTGTTATGATGGCTTTTCAAGCGGACCGATAAAACAATCGACGAAGATAATAATTCCGTCCAGTGTCCAGTAGGCAGCGCAAGGCTGAAAAACAGCGTGCGAGTTTCAGCATTGAAGGGAGAGGAACATAATCAACCCGAAGCAAAACGCGCGACCGGCCACATCCATTCCCGACGGCCACCAGGCCGAAGAGACAGAGAGGGAGAGGGAGAGAGAACAGAAAGGCGGTCATAGAACTTCATCGGGAATCCGCGGAATTCAAGCTAAAGAAAAAACGAAACGAACGGGGCGACTCCCGACCCAGGCGCCTCGTGTGTCAGGCTCCGCCACGGCTTGGCGCTCAGGGCAGCCCATGTGTCGACGGGAAACGTTTTAACGCCGCACCTGCAGCAACAAAAAGGGAACCTGTTATCGAAGAAAGCGGCAGGCCGCCGCAAGGAAACAAGAGAGCAAGGCGGAAGTACACCCGCAAAATCAGAGGCGGGAAGAGAAACACATCGGAAACCTGTGGCGCGCAGGCATCATCACAAAAGCCAGGGTGGCGACCGTCGACGATCCCATAAACTTCAGATCGAACATCCCACTGGAGAATTCTAGCGAACATCGGTCGATCGCAGAGAGATCGAGCGCCACAACAATCTTGCAGAGAGAAGGTCAGGAACCCCGGAACAAAAAGGCCACAGACGCCACACCGGCCGAGGGTGCCCGTAGCCCGCGCCCGCGCCCCCCCCTAGTTGCCGAAGGAAAGGATACGACCACCTTCTCCCGAGCGGCATGAAGGATATGATGATGCTGATGATGATGATGATGATGATGCTGATGATGATGGCGATGCCGATGATGATGATGGCGATGACGATGGCGACGGCGATAACGATAACGGTAATGATGATGACGATGACGCTGTTGTTGATGATGGTGGTGCTGATGACGATGACGATAGTGACGATGCCAATGACGACGACGATAATCGACCGTGTATATATATATATATATATAAGGTGGTTCGTCCACCAGCAGCCTACTTGAAAGTGGCGTGACGGGCTGTTGTAAGGACGCCATCAAGCTGCTCGTCGTGCAGCGGTTGGCCAGGCTCGCGCACGGCCCTGGTTTGGCTCTGCACATGGAACGCCGAGACACAAAACGTCAGTCCTCCAGTTCGGCTCACCGCAGAATCGGCGGCATCGCATTCGCTCGGGGCCACGAGGCCAAACATGTGGATGGGAGAACCGGAAGTCAAAGAGGCGACGAAGAACGGGACGGGAGAGGTAATGGTCGATCGCGTCGGGCACATCGGCGCATCCGAAGAGGCAGGAAGCGGTGCCACAGACGTGCATGCGGCGCGCGGTCGTCCACTTTCCTGCGAGGGTTTTGAGCGCTGACCATTGCCGCGACGGACGCTGCGTCCGAAGGACCGAAAGACACTCCGCCCACCGTTCCCCAACCTTCCCCGGTATCAGCTGCAACAAACCCCATGCACGCAGTCGCTTGCCAATGGTGAAAAGGAAACCGGGAGGGAAGAGGGAGCGACGTAAGGAAGCGGAGAAGACGCGTTGCACCTTAGCCTTGCGACCAGCGGCACGGGCGTTACTGAGATCATCGCGGGCCGCAGACGCGGCATTCATCCACTGCGTGTCATTGACGCCTGGATCGGGGGCGTCCTCCTAGAGCGATTGAAACCGTTGCAAAAATGCCTTGCAAAATCTTCCAGCAAGGTGCGCTCCACTTCTGATGGGCCCATGCCGCAAACGGGACGTCTCTCACCGCCTGCTCTGACCAATAGCGAAGATCTTCCCCCGTCCCGCCAGCGCGTGATGCGCGCAGCGCCAAAGACTCGCCACGCTGAGAATCTGCGCTGAGGCTGGCGAAATGAGCGCATGATCCTCGAATGCGAAAGGATCCGCCTTCCGAAAGGTGCCCTAGAAGCGTCTTCCGAGCGGCATCAGGCCAAATGGAGGCCTCTGTCGCCACTGGCGAGAACTGGACGCCGAAATCTTTCGCGTGCGGCGCGGTAGAAATGCCCGCCCCCGTCGGAATGCGACGTTCGAGGAAGCGCCGAATACGTGCAACTGAGGAGGCGTCAAAGTCTGCCCATAGTGCCATAGAAAGATTGTTTCGGCTGTTTGCAGGCGAAGGTGGGCCAGGCGTTCGGCTTCTTGAAAGACTGGAAACGCTGTCGGCAAATCAGCCATCCGAGGCTGGACATGGCCGGCGCCATCAGCACATCCTCCCACGACCCCACGTCTCTCACCCAAGGACGACGACGAAACCTCCCCCACTGCGCGTCTCAAAATCGGGCCCACTGCCATGGCCCGACCGAGCCTGACAGTGGGCATCCTTCCATGACGCCCGACGGTAGACAGAACATAAGCTGCTGCTCCTCGCTGACTGCGGTACAGCCCCTGGGGCCGAAATGGAACATCGAAATCGGATATCGAAATTCCACGGGAAGCCCAAAGCGCTCCAACACAGCCCAGAGCCAATCGTGGCCCAGGGAAGGGAACGCGGCAGCAATGTCAAGCGCAACAAAAACTGGGGCGTCCTGATCGGGGGTTTCGGGCACGCCCGCGCGCCTTGCCGCCGCGCCAAGACGGGTCAGGTTGTTTAGGAAGTTGCGTCTGGGAACAAATCCCTGCTGGACCTCGCGAGCGCGGTCCTGCACCAGACGCTGAAGCTTGCGATCAGCAGCAGCCGCGAAGATTTTCGAATCTGCGTCGCGCGGCGACAGGGGCCTGATCTGAGAGGGCCCCCAAAAGCATTCGCAGGCACCGAGGTGCTCGTTATCCCTTCGGGAGAAAGACAAAAGAGGGAATCATTCAAGGACTCAGGGATAAAATGGCCCGCCGTCAGATGTCTCAGGAGCCCGGAGCACGGGGGGCAACTCGTCGGATACCGCCCAAGCCTTGCAGGGGACCCTGTCTGGGCAGGGTGCAGTGCGCCGTGCTTGTTTGAGGGCCATGTTGAAGTCCTCGGTGCTGGGGGCAGCGATGTCGGCCATGCTCTGGGCCGGGTAGATCTCCTCTAGACGGTTCTGGGTGTCCAGCTCGTTGGCCGGCTTGGCCCGAAGGGCGTCGGCGCTCGTTGGCGCCGGCTTGGCCCGAAGGACGTCGGCCCAGTGAGCCTTCAGAGCCTCGAGAATCTCCGCGGGGGGCTTCGCCGCGAGCTGCGCGCCAGGCCCCGCAAGGTGCTCAGGACGAATACCCGGTATAATCAGTCTCCCCCCTTTGGGCTTCCATGGCGCGGCTCGTTGGCGAATGGTTTTTTTGATATTTGAAAGGAGCAGCAGCTCCGAAGAGATTGCCAGCGCGTTGAGCCCATTGGGCAGCTTGAGCAGCACGCCGATGCGTGGCCCCCAGTTGCGCCGCGTGAAGCGAGCGAAATCTGCATCGAAATTCATCGCAGTGAAGCAAACGAGCATGTCCATCATCAATCTGAAGAAAGCAAGCCCCTTCTTCCGCGGCCGATTGGATCAAGGCAGCAGGAGAGGCGTCCTGTCGATAGACCGCCCGTGTAATCCTCCTCGTTGCGATCGTTATCTCACCTCGTGCTCTGCGGTCATGTCGTCGCAATGGCAATCGCTGTGATTCATATAAATTCTGGCGGGCAGCCCCCATCACGAAGTCCTTCGCGCGGAGCCGCCGCTAGACGGGCGCGAAGCGCTCTAAGTCAGCGGCGGCGAGCAAGCTGCACAGTATGTCCTTGAACATTCCTCTCTGGGTAACGCATCAAGGACGCGAGGTTCGGCGGCGCGAGATAGCGCCTGCGTGCGGGGCGAGAGGCAGAGGATGGAGTGGTCGCTCAGCCTGGGCCGCGACATCCCCATGGGGTCCTTATCGATCGCGGCGAAAACGTCTGAGTCCATCAGGTGGTGCTCAGGTTGTACATAAAAATCCTGTTGACCGCCGATGCTGCGCGTTGCTGGCGGCTGAAGTGCGTCGGGATGCGCGGGCGGGTCTCCTGCGCCACGCCGCAGAGAGGCCGCCAGAACATCTCCAGCGGCTGCTATGCGCGGCTGGTCGGTAGAGAGCTCGTCATCGCGATCGGCGAGTCATCGCCGCAGGGATTGCCCCCCTGGCGTTGAAGTCACCCATGGCGAGGGCGGTGCTCGGCGTGAGGTCAGCGACGTCCCGTGCCGCGGAAAATCTCCATTAGTGCGCGATGCAACCGCGCCTGTCATCAGGCATGCCATAGTCGCGGGGGGTCAGGACCTCGAAGCATGCGCCGCTGCTGACGCGCGCAATCTCCAGCGCGGCGACTCGGCCAGGCTCGATGCTATGAAAATGGACAGAAGGACGGAGCACGTCGGGCAGGGCCCTCGGCCATGGCGCCAGAAAGGCGACGCCCCCCTCGCGCGAAAGCGAAGCCTTGGAGTGGATGAGCTTGCACTGGCACGGCGAGCTGGCGATCGGGGCCTCCTGATGTTGTCAGCTCCGCGGGCCCCCGGTGGAACGAGATTGGCACCTTTCTTCGCGTGCCGCTCGAGTTTCTGCCGCTCGCGCTCGCGCTTGCGCTGGCGCGCCTGGTAGCAGCAAGGCCCGCGAGCGTTCCACGGCGAGACGCAGGCGCCCCGCGCGCTCGGCTGCGCACTCCACGGAGCCCAGCGCGGACAGAATAAACCACAGCTGTGCGCCGGCGGCGCGAAAGAGGCGTTGGAATTCGGCGGCGGCCGCGGCTGTCCACTCGCAGCCGCTGGGCGACTTGTCCGTCCCATCGCAGTTGTGAACTGCCTGCTGCGCTGGCGCC